AAATAAATATTATAAGTTAATACATACATAGTAATTTATGTACTAACCACAAGTATGAATTGACAATTAGAAAAGATGGTTTTGTGGGTGACCTAAAAAAAAAAATTGTATTTTGTGTGGGAGAGAGACAAATATAATGATGTCAAAATTGTACCATCAAGATTCTATTTGTTTCTTGAACTTCACTCAAATCTTTATATATATATATAATTTAATTTTAATAAAATTTTGAATTTTGAAGTTTTTGAGGTGGATATATACATATATATATATATATATTTTTTTAATAAAGTAAGTTTCATTTTTCACTAATTCTATCAAAAAATTGTTTCATAATTTCTCAATTACTTTGATTTTTTTATATAAAGTAATTGTAAATTTAATCTATTTGTACATTTTTGTAATAATTTTTATTTACTTTAACATACGGATTAACCGAATTAATAACTCAAGCGAAATTAAAAACATCGAACTAACTTTATCACATATATTATATAAATAAATACTTTCGATAATTACGTAATACATTTACATTATTATAACACAATGACGTAACTTAAATTCATAATTTTTTATATAAAAAAAAAATTAAAAGTGTTAATTAATAAATTCATATTAATATTATTCTTATTTATGCAAATATCATACTAATATAAAAAAAAATAAAACCACTTGAAAAAATGTGTTAAGGTTAGATGAAGTTTGAATAGGTTATATACATTTTATATCACAAATATAGTCTATATTTATATATAAGATATATAAATATGTTTAAAATAGTTAATTATTACATAAAAATATAATTAAATATTATATATGTTATGTGTTTTTTTTTATATGGAAAATAAGTAAATTCCTTAGAAATTTAAAAAAGAAAAAAGAACAAAAAAAAAAACAACACATTGTCTAATACACTAATAGGAACCACCGGACCCTCATAAGTATATGTTTGAAGGCCCATTTAGCCAACTTGTGGGCTTCTCTATTATGGTCTTTTGAGGATCCACCCCACATTACATACATCAAAATGTCACTTATGAACCCTAATTTCCTTGGTGGTGTTTTCCAAATACTACACACACTATAAACTTTCGTTCGGTAGAATAAGCTATCTTCGCACTTAACGAACTATCTTCAACTACAAATGGGAAACGAGAAACAAGATAATAAAAACTATTACTTGATTAGTCCGGCTTCAAACTATGTCCCGACAATTAAGATATAATCAGACGAGTCAAAATCATCGGGAGAGAGTATGGGATAGAAGAACGCAATGGTTTGGAAAATATTAGGCCCAAAACACTTATATACGAACCTATAAATTATCTATTTTGATATCGTAGATAACTTGAATCTCTTAGTCTCGAGTTTAAGAACCTATAAATTATACTTTTTCGTTGTCCGGTGACATATAGACTGTGGTATATGATTTATGGTTTATCCGAGATTTTTTGGATTATTGCAGGGCCAGTTAAGAATGAGTTAAAGATTTAGAGAAGCTTATGTCAAAAAAAAAAAATTTACTAAAGTCATTCGTTTGACTTAATTTTGGGTCATTTGAAAAAAGAGAATAATAGGGTTTTTTTTTAAAATTATATTTATAAATTAAGAGATATGTGATTTCGTTATTTTAGGTATCGCTTATTGGGTCATGATTTATATAGAACGGAGAATTTTGAATATATAGTTGATACAATGATTAATTTCTAAATATTATATAAATAGGTGGTACCCCTTTGATACATAGACTTTTTAATACATTTACTACTGTCACACTAAAATAAACGAACTTGAAATTTTTCTTTTCGAGATCATGGGTAATTCGAATCTCCAAGACCAAGTATAGGACCCCATTAAAATGAGCTTCTATATTCGTGGTAAGGGAGTTTTATATCGAAACTTTTGCAGAAGTTGCACGACATAAAAGACGTCGAGCTTGACGATTAACTCACGAATCCATGTCCTCCACCCTGGACCTTGGCAAGCAACAACTAGAGTGCCTCTTAATAATATTAATACCCTCCCTCTATTGTTCTGTAAAGGAAGATGATGGAGGAGTTATGAAACGACACCGTTTGGTCAAATGAAGTATGGGGCCTGGGCCGAAAGGTCATTTATTGTACATCAAATGGGGATTTTACAAGCTTATTATCAGAAACTGAAAACCCTAATCCCACCGCAACGATCAGATTTTGAAGACGCCGATGAGGGATTTGGTCGATGAATTTACGGAGATAAGAAGGAATACTAAAAGAATCGCCCTAAACAATCATCCTCGAATAAGGAAATAAATAAAAAAGACTCGTAATTCAAAACTGTGATTTGAGGTTTCTGTGTATGTTTGGCTACCGAGAAAATAAAGCGAGAAACAAAGAGAAAATAACAAGCTGAAATTCTATATTTTTTCTTACCATAGCGATCGAATGAAAGACATAAAAAAAAAAGATAATCATAAACAGAATGCTCGATAATACATGAGAAACACCTGAACATGGAGTACCTTCTGGTTCGCCAGCCACAGAGCCGCAGATGCGAGGGAGACGAAGGAAAACGAAGAGAGTCTTATTTGTCACATATTATTAAAGTAGAGGGGCGAATTTGTAAATAAAAAAAATTAGGGGTCTCTTTGAATATTTATTAATAATACAGGGACCATTTTGTAATTTTAATCGAAAATCCCGTTAATACAAATAAACCCATATATAATTCATCATATAATATTATTACATAAATTTCAAATAAATATTTTTAATTATTAATTTGACTTATATTATTATCATATATATAAATAAATATATATATATATATATACCAATTATAATATATAAAAAAATATAAGTCAAATTAATTTGGATCTTTCTTTGGCATCTTTCACTTAGTCATTAATTTGCTAATTTTTTCCAAGTCATAGAACTAATTTTAGTCACCGTTGACCAGGAAACTTGGAATTTGAAGTGTATGGTGTTTATAGTTTTCTGCTTAAGTATGATTAGTGTAATTAATTATTGCATTAAAAAAAGTTATATACACAGTATTATACATATACTCAACCTCACTATGAATTATATTGATAACGAATTGTTATTTAATTATTAAAATATATAAATTATTTCGTTTTTTTACATCAAGTCAATACGTTTTAACTTATGCTCTGACTCGAATAACGTGGGGTACGGAAAAATCTTATCTCTTTCTTTTCTTTTTATGCATTCGTGCGTTCCTCCTGTGTGACAACGTTGATGGGTAAAAGTAATCATATCATCTTATTTCGATCTACAATGATAAGTTTATGGGTGTAGTATCAAACTAATATACTTAATAAATATTATCTCTCTCTGAAAAAGGAGGTGAACCGGTCGCACCTTTCGGTACGATTAACTTGTCACGACTTTTTTTTTCCGTCGCTAGTTCTGCACCCGGCATTCCTCTCCTTGCGGGTAAGTTAACAACTTTTATTTTTATTTTTATTTTAATATGAATAAATTTTGTATACAAATTATAAAATGAATATTTAAAAGTAAACAAAGGGAATTTTTTAAAGAGTGTGTGGCTTAAAGGGGAATCAAATGAAGCATAAACTTGTAAGCTTATCTCAAAGAAGATAAAAGGTGAAGGTGAATCTCAATGGAAGACCCAATTGATTTAAAAGGATTAATTTAGGTTAAAAAAGAGGACCCAACATAGGATTCCAAAGCATATGTATATGCTAATATATGTTATGCAATATGTATATGTATATATATATATATATGGAAGTGTGCATGTATATTCCAAATAAAGGGACTTTAAAATCCAGATGGGTCCTTTATCTGTATATTCCTAAGGCTTATGGGATAATGTTGGTTTTGCATGGTTAGTGGCATCATCATCATCATCATCATCAGCCGTTAGGAGTAGTAAAAGAGCTTCCCCTTCAGTCATATACATACATATATATGTATATATATGTATGTATAGGGCATATGACCCATAAAGGAAGGGAATCCCTTAGATTTTGAACTGTGATAAGGGCAAAATTTAGTCACTAATTACAAGTAGAAGATGATGACTGGTTTGTATAAACTAAAGGGATGAAAAAAGGGTCAACAAGTATAATACAAACACCTTCATGGCTTTAGATTTGGGTTTGGAATAAAAAAAAGTAAAGAGAAAGTGGCCGGGGGAAGGGGGATAAAAAAAAAAAAAACAAAAAAAGAGGCATTGTAAATTCCCCCTCTCTCTAGTGGGGTTTGATTTTAGAGCACTTTCACTTTCCATTAGGTTGTGAGTAGTGAGAGAATAATTTAGAAAAGAAATAGAGAGAATAAAGGAGAAAAATGAAAAAAGAAAAATAAAATTCTCGTAAAATTATTCAAAACTAGTTTACGATGATGAAGTTAAAATATTTTTCTCGTAAATTTTCTAACTAGTTTTATGTCTTAAATATATATATATATATAAGAAAAATCCAACATCAAAAGTTTTTGTCATTGTTCATAATCAATGAATAATAACTTCATAAACAATAATTTGACTTTATTGAAGCAAAAAGTAATCAATAATTGTTCTTTGCTGAATTTTTTTAGTAAATAATATTTACATTATAATTATGTACAAATCACAATCTCTAAATGATACGGAAATACAGTTTTATTCGAATGTATAATCTCTTTTAGAAAAAAAATAACGTAACGGTGGTTCAATTAAAGAATATGATATGTACTAACAGACTAATTAATTCATACGCAAACATATATAAATATAAACAGAACTAGTCGACAGGTATATGAAATGATAAATGGAGTGGTGGGGGTAATGAAATTTGTGTGTTTATCAATGAATTAGATGAGAAAGAAAGGTCTGTTTGGGTGATAAAAGTTTTTTTAAGCTACCTTTTTTTTTACTCTCATCTAATTCAAATGAAGCTCCCTTTTTAGGGTTTGGGTGTTTTATAACAGCAACAAAGGAAAAGACAGAAAGTGCCAACGTCATTCTCCAAAAGAAAAATTATTAGAATAATCATAATAAGAGAGAGAGAGAGAGAGAGAGAGAGAGAGAGAGAGAGAAGAATTTTGCTGAATCAATCAAGTGGGTATTGTGATTCTTCCTAGTCTTTGCTTGTATTTGCAGTCCTCTCTCTCTGTCTCTTTCTCTTTCTACCATTTTCATTTGCAGAGTTGATATCTCTTTTTTGGGTGTCTTAGCCTTTTCTTCACCCTGGATTATTTCTGTTCTTTTAATTTCTTTTTTACTAATTATGAATTTTGCTCCCATCTTAGCTTTGTCTGTCACAGTAATCATCACTCTCCTGTCCACTCTTATCGAATACTGAAATCTCCCCTTCAATTTTCCTCCCCATGCTGCATCTTTATATACCCATAAATAGATATACCCAGAAAAGCAGAAGATTATTTGTTAGTGAAGAGGTTAATTTAGAGGAAAACCATCTTATTGTATCTCTTCTTTTCTTTTCCCTCTTTTGCATGGCCTTATTATTACCCTTGAGTCTCCACTGCTATATCTCTTGATCGGTTAATTTTCAAGAGAAAGAGAAAGAGATAATATATATATATATGTGTGTGTGTGTGTGTGTGTGTGTGTATGATCTGAATTATATTGCAGGATTGCTCAGACAAGCAATCCATGGGTAGATAGCGACTTGGAGAATAACCCATCATCATCATCATCATCTCTTCACGAGATTTTGCTTTTCATACCCAATGAATGATGCCTTTCTGTATCTATATGTCACTGCCACCTGTTGCTCCATAAACCTCTGTTTAGACCAGAGTTGGGATTCTCTCAAGCTAGCGTTAAAAGTATTCTAGCTACAATACATAACACATCAAACAAACTGAGATATTATATCATCACATAACAACAGTAGGGTGTTTTTCTTTCTTTCCTTTTCTTGGTTTTTCTTGCTTGGAGTTTTCTTCTTCACAGACATGTTCCCTGCACTTATGTCCAATTCAACTTCTCTCTCTGAGGAAGGTACTAGTGTTGGGTTAAACTTAAACCCAAACCCAGTGGTTTCCACCATCTGTGCTCAGAAGATCAAGAAGAAGAGAAGCCTTCCGGGTAACCCAGGTACAAATTCTCTTCGATTTTCTCTCCTTTAATCAACTTGGTTTGATTAAATTTTGAGTCAAAACTATTAATTTCTAGACCCAGATGCAGAAGTGATAGCTTTATCCCCAAAGACCCTATTGGCTACTAATAGATTCGTGTGTGAGATCTGCAACAAAGGATTTCAGAGAGATCAGAATCTTCAGCTTCACAGGAGAGGTCATAACCTTCCATGGAAGCTCAAGCAGAGAAACAGTAAAGAGATTAAGAAGAGAGCCTATGTCTGCCCAGAACCTACTTGTGTACACCATCATCCATCTAGGGCTCTTGGTGATCTTACAGGTATCAAGAAACATTATTGCAGAAAACATGGGGAGAAGAAGTGGAAATGTGAAAAATGCTCAAAGATTTATGCAGTTCAATCAGATTGGAAAGCTCATTCTAAAACCTGCGGAACTAGAGAATATAGATGTGACTGTGGAACCCTTTTCTCCAGGTATATACATATACATATACATATATACATTTTCCACTTTCTCCTTTTCTTAGTAGTACTGTTTATGTTTATCTTCTTTTTGGTCTCTTTTCAATTAATCTTTTTTGTTTGCCTCTCAACCACCCCAATTATTTTCTCTATTTCCTCATTACAATTCTCGTATTCCTTAAAACGATATTCAACACTTCCAACTCTAAATGCCCGTCTGGTTTCTGTTCAAAGAGCGTTAAATTTCTTGTCTTATACACACACACACACACACACACACACACACACATATATACAAAACATGTCTACATACATATATATATATATATGGGGAGGTTAAATGTTTGGCAGGTTTTCATGAAACGGACACCATTAATAAGTGTCTGTTACTGGTGACAATGCAAGTGAAACTGAAACTTATATCTCTGTGAAAGATGATGCTGAGTTAGCAAAAGAAAGAAACAAATTAAGGAAGATAAAAAAGAGAGAGACAAGGGACAATCAACGTGACCTTTTGTTTGTATATGGTATTGTCTGTCTCTCGTTCAAAACCCAGCTGTATTTTATCAGTTACTCAATTAAGATATATATATATAATATATGTATGTATAAATAAACCTCAGTAGATTTTCACATTTAACCTGCACTTCTCCATGAATGAAAACTTACAAGTTTGTTCCTTTTTTTCAAAATTACAAAATTTGTTGGGCTGTGTTTTGTTTTGATCCGCTTTTTATGTTCCTTGTAATGGAGTGTGTGTGTGTGTGCGTGTGTGTGTATATACACACACACACATGTATGCATATAATATGTAGTGTCAAAAACCATGATGGATATCTGCTCTTGTCCAAGAAAAAGTAAAAGAAAGGCTTAAGTTCAATTTCGTGGTTGAGAAAATGAGTAAAATATTTTTTTCCTTCTCTTTGTCTTTTTAAATTTGTGTTCTGAAGGCATGTGCCATTATTAAGTTTCAGAACACTGAAACTCTGAGAGAGATTCATGATGATGATGATGGGTGCATGATGCTGATAAAATCTGCAAAGATATCTGATATGCCGATACATATATACATATATATATATATATATATAGTTTCCTTTTCATGCTTATAAGATATATATGTTGGTGGTCTTTCAATTTCATATCTTTGTGTACTTGCATGGCCCTCAGCTCTTCAATTCCTTCTTCTCTCTCTTCCTAATTTTTATGATTTCTTGAAATTTGAACTCTCCATTCATCTTCCTTTCTTTCTGCATGCATTTATATTGCATTATATATATATATATATATGTATCTCTTTCTCTCTCTTTACTTTTTGACCAGCAAATTAAGACAACTGTGAGCTTAATGTAACATAATCTTCATTCTCTTAATCTTTTTTTTTTAATAAAATAGTAATTTCATATTTGAATGCATCAAATACCTCCATTTTTATTTTGTAAATTCTTTTTATCTATTATTTGTTTAGACATTTACATGCATATATATATATATATATATGAATATTATTTCACTTGATTACCAAGCATGAGTAATTCAAAAACCATATAGTAATTAATCATATTATTAATTATATTATACAGGAAGGATAGTTTCATAACTCACAGGGCATTCTGCGATGCATTAGCTGAAGAAAGTGCAAGACTTTCTGCAAATCCCACCACTACCACCACCAACCCTAACTCTTCTTCCGCTCTCTTCACTTACCCATCTCACATCTCCCTCTCCCCCTGGGATCCACCTCAAAACCCTAATCCTAATCCCGTCAAGCTTGAATCCCTCCCCTTTCACATCCCACCTCCACCTTCACTACCTTTCTTCCAACCCACCACCAACCCAGCCCCTCTCATTTCCTCACCCTTCCCTCTCCTCCAACCCACCTCCTCCGCCGCCCTCTCTGCCACTGCTCTCCTCCAAAAAGCTGCCACAGTCGGTGCTACTGCTACAACACACCAGCCATCGAGTCATCACGTGTTGACTCAGCCGCAGCATGGACAACTAAACAGCAGGATGAGCGGAGTCGCGGAGTTTGGCCACGTCGACTCGCTGAGTGATATATCGCCGGAGTACCAGCTGAGCGGGTTTAGTTCCGGGAATCTAGCCACGTGGCATAAATCTGACCGTCTGACAAGGGACTTCCTTGGACTTCGAGGTCCCCAGCATGAGATTAAGGGAAATAGCGGGAATGTTAACGTTAGCATAAGTGCGAGGGAACTGTTAACGTACGCAGGAGGCGCACATCAGTTCCCACTGCCAGCGTACCACAGAGACCAGTCAACGTCGTCGTTTTTGAGGCCTCAAGGTTTGGGGTTCGCCGAGCCTGCTGCTGCTGCTTCTTCCCAGGCCTGGGAACACTGCTAATCGGAGAACACTGTTGTGCGATGCGAAATGACCGAACTACCCTTCCGTCCCTAAATGCAAATATTGTACTCTCGCCGAGGCCAAATTCTAATATGGGAAGAATTCAGAACCTCCATGTATGTAATTTTTCTACTTTTCGGGGGTGAATTTAGAATTTCATAAAGATGCTTGCCCCTTCAGTTTTTTCACTGTACTACTCATCATCTCCTCTGCGCAGTCTCTGCTTCGCCTTTTTTTTTTTTTTGGTCATGTCCTTTTCTTGCAACTCAGTTTTTACTGTACTCATATATCAAAGGCTATTTTGGTCATTTAATTTCTCCTCTTTCTCCACACACACACACATATATATATATATATATAATGAGTTACAGTTGACATATATGTGTATATATATATATGTATGTATGTATGTATGTGTACTTGAGCTGGCAGAGAAACTTCACATGCAGAATAGGAAGATAGGTGGCTCTCTTGCTTTTTTATTTTTCTTGCATAATAGTACACATAGTAATCTATGTTTATCTGTGTGCGTACATATATGTATATATATATATGTGTGTGTGTGTTGATCATGACTCATATTGATCTATCTTTGTCACAACAGCTATAAAACTTGGGATTATTTATCCCATCCTCATCCATCACGAAGCACCTCTCCCTTTCCATTTTCATCTTTTTAAACAACTTTTTTTTTTTGTTCTGTCTGATAATTTTAAGCTAAACCAACACACACGGGTACCTAATTAATTATTATATACATATATACGTCTGTAATCTATAAGTAAAAACAAATGGTCTCCGTAGTTGTCTATCTGTATATGTATACGTACATGCATACACCATATATACGCAGCGACGCCATGATTTGAGTATGGAGAGACAAGAATATATCGAGTAAAAATTTGGTAAAACAAAGTGTATAAGTTGGCAAAACAGACAGAATTAGAGTTTCGTCGCCCTCGTGTTATATATAGTAGTCCGTAGGTAGGTTGGAGTATACTTACATGCTATTATCATCTTCTTCTCTCTCTTTTTTCATTTGGGTCAGCGCAATAAATATTCTAACAGTGACATACACAACGTATGACTTGCAACTCAGAATTCACATTTGTATAGAAATATAAGTCTTAAGAAGAAAGCAAATATATATATATATATATATTTAAAACTCATCTTCAACACCCTTATTATATACATATAATTATTGGGTTTTTTTTCAATGAATGTAAGTCGTGAAATTAAGATAATAAATTGAAATTAATGATACAACAATGTAGTTATTGTACAAGATGGATACATGTATGACCAAAAAAAAATTATAAAACTATTGCTGATTAGTTCGCAAATACCAACTTCTCTCTACTGATGAATTTTCATTACGATCTCCAACAGTTTCTCACAAACGATATCATGAGTGTCTTCTAATTACATATATGCATGACGATTTTTTAATTTTTTAATTCTTTTCGTACAGGGAAAAAAAAAAGAACCCACCGCCTCGAAATAACTTACAATTTGTTTTTTACAAACCTATAATTATTGGGTTTTTTTTTATGAATTTAAGTCTGTGAAATTAAGATAATGGTACAATAATGTAATTATTGGACAAGATGAATATATATATATGTATGTATAAAATTAAAGGCCCACCACCTCAGGGAGAAGTACTGATCCTACTCAATAGTCATAACTTACATAATCATAATATATATATATATATAATATATTTACCAGCCCAATTATTGGGTTTAATAAATACTAGTGTTTTCAAAATGTGTATTGTGTGGGAAGTGGAAAATTTTTGAATCCACGATCAGCGGTGCATGTGAACCATATCTCTTTTCATCATGACCCTTCTCGTATCATGCAATATTGTCTTGCTTGCATGCACCAAATTTACAAT